CACTGGGCCCTGGAGGGGCGGGCGGGGACCTGCCCCCGCATAAACAAGGGTCACTAACCAAGGCAACCTTGGAGGGGCTGTCTGTGATTCGAGCCCAGCTGTTGGAGGCTGATGGGCAGCCCGAGCCGAGTCCCCTGGGCCAAGGTGGGGCTTTCCCCAGTGTTCTCTGTCCTCCCTGCAAATTACTCTAATTTTAAACACATGGGGTCTGTCCCCCAGCTCATCCTCACCCTCAGGGGTTAGACAGTACGATAAGCACTTCACAGGTGTGGAAACTGAGGCACAGAGGAAGAGAGGGACTTGGTGGGTTAGAGAAGGGCATGATTAGAGAGCTGGACTCTCAGCGCTGAGCTTCAGAGCTCTGCTCAAGGCAGCGCAGGTGGAGTCCACTGAGACCCTGCCCTCTTCCTCTCCCCAGGCCCACCCTCCTGGGCCTGCAGAGAGCTGCTCTGTGCCCTGGGCTTGGGCTGGGCCCTGACACTCGTGGTCTGGAGCCCGATTTTCAAAACCCAGGCTCCTTTCCTGAAGGCTGGGCTCCAGGAAGAGAAGGTGCCAGGTGCCTTCTGTGTGACCTTGGCCATGACACTGGGCCTCAGCTTTCCCACCTGTTAAATGGGGACCACAGCCCTCCCTCCCGGGGATGACCCAGGGTGAGACAAGGCCATGCGTGTCGGCTGCTGAGACGCCAGAGTGGAGGAAGCGCTCAGGGAGCGTCGGCTGCTGTTTTTATTTCCATGGCTGCCAGCTACTGCTCTTAGCCTGCAGAGGTGCTGTGGGGACTCGGTGCTGGGAGAAGGGGGCTTCCTGGAGGAGGGGCTCTTGGCCTGGGCCCCAAAGGACAGAAAAGCATTCCTGGCAGGGGCTGTGCCTGAGCCGTGGCCCTGATGTGAGGGAGGCAGAGAATATTCTAGAAACCCTGGGAATAACAGCAGCAGAGGAGGTGGTGGTGGGTGGACCCTGGAGCAAGCAGCCCTGCCTTCTTTTCTTCCGGGATCCCCACTGTGACCAGTGGCTGATCCTTGCAGTCTTAAACCAGGGACCTTCAAAGCTAGAGGAGCCTAAGGGAGCAGGCTGTGCAGAGGGGAAACTGAGGCACAGAGTATACATGGACTGGGCCCCAGGTGACCAAGTGAGCAGGCCGGAGCTCCCCACCCGGCTCCCACTGTGGGTAGCTGAATGAAAGAGGCCTTTTCTGCAGGCCCATCTTCCTTCCTCGGGCTCAGGAAGTTCCGTTCTGCTCCCAGTGGAAGGCCTGGGCCCCGTGGCTCCGAGACTCTCTGGCGCCCCGGCCACGTGGAGCCACCACGGCATCCCTTCGCCCCTCCCTGGCAGCGGCTCCAGTGTTCCACGGCCACACGGAAGCAATTCCAGAAGTGCTGTTGAATCTCCCCTCCTCCAGGAAGCCTGCCCTGTGTGAGGGCAGAAGAGCATATGGTGGGGGCCAGGTGACTTAACTCATATCCTGGTCCCAGAACAGCCACTTAGCACAGGTCTTGTTGTGAAGCCTCAGTGGCCTCATCTGTACAATAGGAGCAAAAAGGAAAGTGTGGAGAGAAAGAGCACTGGACTTGGAGTCAGGGGTCTGGGTGCCAGGGCTGGCTCTGCCGTCCTGGTGTTGCATCCCAGACACGACTTAACACCCTGGCCTGAGTGTCCTGGTCCCTAACGTGGGGGTGATAATCCCGCCTCCCTTGGCACAAGCAGGGGCAGAAGAGACAGTGGCAATGGCAGTGACCCATGTGTGCAGAGTGTCCACAGACCTTGTTTGGCCAGCATCATGACCTGTGAGGGTGCCACGATGGGGACACTGCAGCTTAGGGTGGGGACAGGGAGTGTGACTTGAGTGAGGCCACCAGACTGCAATGGCAGGGCCTGTCCTCGAACCTGGGCTGGCTGTGAACCCCGCCCTCCTTCCGCCGGGCCACAGGAGTGACTGTAAACACTTCGTACACAGTGTGACTCAGAAACGGGACTTTATTTGCCAGTGACGATAACAACGAGGCCTGAGGTTTTGCGCTGGCTTTTGTGTAGCCCCATTGGCTCACTTCAAGCTTGTGGTTGCCTAAGACACCCAGATCCTTTGCACCCAAGCTGCTGTCAGGTCAGTCTGCGGTCTGCACGTCCATCCGGCCGGCTTCCTGCCTGTTGAGATTGTTCTGAATTCATTTGTCCTCTGGCCCTGCCATTTTCAGTGGCCTCGGCAGCAAGGGCAACATTTCCTCCAAGGCCTGTCAGGTCAGAGGGCTGAGCCCTGCGACTCTCCCCTAGAGACCACCTCCCGAGGGACATCCATTAATCGGTGCTCAGTGACTAAGATGACACAACCAACCAGAAAAAGAAGTCTTGAACTTGGAGTTTGCAAACTGGCAGCCCTGGCAGGACTGACATGTCCTGCAAAGTGGTTGGTTGGCTTTTTTTTTTTTTTTTTCTTTTTCAGTATTTGAATTAGTTGCCAACATGTAAAATATGGAAGATGTCACATAAAAGCAGGTGTACAGCTTCTCCTGGTAAATTGGAAGCTCTGGGAACACTGGGCCCACCCGCATCAGGGCACTAGTCAGCTGGACTGGATGGCAACTGCCCCTTCTCCAAGACACATCCTCTCCAGTCTGCCCCAGTCCCCACCCATCCCACTTGCCTCATTTACATGACTTGTCTGACCCCCATAGGCATCTTAGTTTGCAGCCCGAGGTCCAGCCAAACTCACCTCCAGCCCACATTTTTCTCTTGTTGCCAAGGATCCTGGGAGGCAGCATCGGGGGGCCTGGATGGAGGCTGAGTGATCTCATTCAGGCTGCCAAGTGTCCCTGGGGCCTCCTTGGAGGAGAAATTGGGGTTCCCTGGTTCTTGATGACTTGCTGAGCCCACTGTGGCTCCTAGGACTCCCTGCTCTGTTTCTGAGGGCTCTCAGATGCCCATTTGAGCTGTGGCAGGGCTGTGCAGGGAGCCTGGGGGTCTGTGGGTACCAGAATCCATTACATTCTCAGTTTGAAAATCAGAAATCAAGCCCATTCTAAGGCCTCGGACTCTGTCCCCTCCTTCCCAACAGCAGCCAACAATCATTTCACATTTTTCCGGGCCCCCAGGGTGCCATTTTCCAGGCCTCTGAAAGGACAGTGAGTGATTGAATTTACCTCCCATCTATTCTCTTCCTCTCTCCCTGGCAATCTAGAAAATTCCACATGTCACTGCAGACCTGATGTCTCAGGGAAGCCTTCCCCTCTCTCTTAGCCCCTTCCCATGCTTCTTTTCCAAGGGATCTCGGGTCCAGGAAATCCTTCCCCCTTCCTTGCTGTGTGACGTCTGGCAAGCCTCTTCACCTCTCTGAGCCGCAGTTCTGTTGTCTGTAAAAAGAGGGTGGGCCCCCCCTGCCTCCCTGGCCTCCTCCTTCGGGGGTCCTGTGGAGCACAATGGGCCAGCTTCCGGTGTTAGGGTGGTCAGTAGAACCCAGGACTGTTGGGCCCTCCAAGTGAGCAATCTTCTAGTGTCTGCTCTGGAGGAACCCCCAGACACAGGGTGGTGTGGACAGTGGACAGGGATGTTCCTGGGGGGATCGCACGTGAGGGAATAATGGAGGAAACAGGAAAACCCAAGTATCCATGGGAGAGGAACGGTGCGTGGACTGCGGCCCCACGGATGTGACGAGCAGGAGCAGGGCCGTCCCCTGACACAGCGCCGCCGTCCGCACGCTTGCTGAGCCCTCGCTCTGCCCCAGGGCGGGCTCCCCGGGTTTTGCAGGGACTCTGCTCTGTCTCTGGGCGGGGCTCCTCTCCCCATTTTACAGAAAAGGAAACATGATGCTCCGGGGTGTGTCTGGGAAAGCAAGTTACAGAGTGATACGGCCAGGCTGAGACCATTCAAGAAAGTTCCATGAGAAACTTGCTGTGTGTTTTCCATGTATGTGAAACCCAAGAAAGGCTAGGAAGAAAGACCTCCAGACTGATCACGTTGAGGGCTTCTGGGGAGGGGCTTGGGGTGGGTCAGAGGAGCCGTTAGCCTTATCTGTAGTGCTTTTATTTTTGTAGATATTCATGGGTTCCTTGTGAAGTGTAAAATGAGTAATTGAAAAAGGTGTGTGTGTGTGTGTGTGTGTGTGTGTGTGTGTGTGTGTGGTTGCTGCAAACCTGATGTCATTCAAGAAGCCTTGAGGGTGGCCTCAGCTGGCTGCTCGAAGGCAGGGGCATGGCTGCGCTGACCCTGCCAGCACCTCTGGGGGCGTGGGAGGTGAGGCTGGCGTCCTTCCTGTGTGGGCCATGGCAGAGGGGGAATGGGAAATGCTGGCAGGCTCTCCAGGGGTGATGCTACAAGCCAGGTGCACTGGTCCCCCGTCCCCAGCTTTGAGTCAGAGATGGGAGTCCAGCCCCCAGTCAGCGCCCTGCACCTCTTCCCAGCATCCTGGCGAATTTCCCCTTCTGTCCGAGGCCCGGAGAGGAGAAGGCGTGTGCGGGGGGTCCCGGGGCGGCTCAGGGCTGGAGCTGGCAGTCCCATTCCGACAACCCTTATTCTTGCAGCTGCGTAGGGGGGAAGGGGTCTGGGATGCCCAGAGGCCCAGGGCGGCAGCATTCCTGGGTTCCCTCCCAGCTTCCCACGGAGCCTGCTTGAGCCCCTTTCCCACACCTGTTACCTCAGTTTCCCTTCTGCCAAAGAGTGTGTTGTAGAGGTCAAGGTCACAGGCTTTGATTTAAACACCGAATTCAAATCTTGAGTCCACAGCTTACTGGCTCTGTGGCCTGGAGCCCCTCTCTGCGCCTCACTTATGGAGTAAGCAGGAGTAATCCTGTCCACACAGGTAGGGGTGAGATCCCGGCAGCCCCAGGGCGGCACATAATGAGCATTCGCTGTTCAGAAAAGAGGTTGGTGGTGACCTGCGGGTTCTCCCTGCAGAGGCCTAAGGGTAGACCTCAGGGAGAGCTTCCCGGTGGAGCGAGGCATCTCTCTCCCCCCGCACCGTCCCTGAGACTCTTGCGAACCGGCGCTGATGGGCTCCCCCTCCGTTGCAGGGCACCGGCAGAAGCTGGAGGACCAGACCAAGGCGTTCCCCGACCGCTTCGGGGACCTGGAGCGGCTGCGCATGCGGGTGACACCGAGCACGCCCAGCCCCCGAGGCTCGCTCAGCACCACGGGCCACTTCAGCAGCCAGGCCCAGACTCCCATCCAAGGTACTGCCCAGCGGGGGCTGCAGGGCGGGAGATGGACGGGGCCCTGGACCGAGAGCTCGTGGGAGGCCGTGCCCTGCACCGCCCTTGTTTCCTGAAGGCAGCGGCTGGTGCTCACTGGCTCTGCAGATGTCCTGAGGGCCTACTCTGTGCCTGGTCCTGGGCTCGGCCCCTCGTTCATTCACTCAACAAACATTTGTTGACGCCCATGTGCCGTTGTGGTGCCTGGCCCCAGGGATCAGCAGGAACGGACGACACAGTCCCTGCCCTTCAGGAGCCCCCTGTGCCCTGGGGGAAATGGGCATTGGTCCCACAGGGCACCCATTAAAACCGGGCAGGACTTGCCCAAGGAGCCTGAGAGAGATGTCCCTGCTGAGGACACCCTGGTCTCCCAGGCCTCAGCTTTCTTCTCTGAAAGCTGGGAGGTGGTGGATGCCTCTGCCTGGGCCCGGGTGACGTTCAGACGACGTTCTTGCACTCGAGAAAACCTTGTAAACCGTCAGATGATGTTGCAGCCCTGCAGAGACACGCAGCATCGCCTGGGAGGGGTGCCCACCCCACGCAGAGACTCCTCCAGATGGGAAGGAGGAGGGAGGCCCCAGACGAGTGTCCCCACTGCCTGGATGGACACAGCAGGCACAATCGAAGCTAGACCTCAGGCAGGCCTTCCAGGGTATTTAAACGCCTGGCACACAGCAGGTGCTTGGGAAGAGGTTGGATGAGGAATTACTACTGTTCTCCAGGCGCTCTCGGGCGGTAGGTTGGGGCGCAGGAGGCCGAGTACACGGCTGGCCCTCAGGACACCAGTCCTGGACAGAGGCCAGAGGGCTGGCAGTGGGGGTCCGTTCTTTCTCGGTCCTCCAGGGCCTGGGGAGAACCCACTGGGCAGATGAGTGAATGGAGGCTTAAGAGGTTGAGGGCCACCCTTGGGCCACAGCCCGTCAGTGACCAACACTTGCCCCCAGGAACTTCCTATACTTCTGAGGGCACAGGGAAGGGGCTCCCGAGCAGGATGAGCCTAGGATGGGGGTGCAGACGGCCTCCTGCCTGCTCCACTCCCTTCTCCTCCAGGCTGAGCTGGGGGCCTGTGGGCCGCTCTGCTCAGGGAGGCCTGGCCCCCAGCCCTTACCGCGTGTGTCAGGCACGAGGCAGGGGGCAGGGGGACTTGATACAGCCCCTCGGTGTGAAGAGAGGGCCCCTCCCGTTCTGGCCTGGGAAACTGGGCCTTGGTCCAGCTAAGCCCCCAAAGTGGGGACAGGCCCCAGGTCCAGCCGCTCCGAGCCCGTGGGCTATCGAGTTTGAGACAGTCCGCAGCTCCTGAGCCGAGGGGGCTGCAGGTGGGGTCCGAGCTCAAGAGGCAGCGGGAGGGACTCTGCACTCAGGGCTCATGCCCACCCCGCCCAAAAGCTGTCTGTGCTCCTGTCCCCCACAGGGCAGCGTTTGTCGAGATACCGTAGCCTGACCCTCTAGGCCTTTCCCTGCTGTGGGCAGAGCTGGGGCCCAGTGGGCTACTGGGGCCCAGACAGGGAGCCCTGGAATCCAGCAGGTGGGGCGAACAGTGGCTTCCTGTTCAGCAGCTCCCGTGGAAGGAGAGCCCACCTCTGCCCTTGCACAGTTGTGTGGACACAGCTTGGGAATCGGTGCCTGAGGGAGCCTGCGGCAGGCCACCCACCCTCTGTCCAGCCCCAAAGGGCCCAGCCTGGCCCAGCAGCAGGCAGAGCCCCTCCCTCCACTGGACTGGGAGGAGAGGAGGTCGGGCCTGTGGGGGACAGTGGCTGGCCCCGTCCTTCCCCTTCTGCTGTATTCTGAGGCAGGGCCCCCTAGCCCGTCCCTCACCACCCACAGCACTGGGCCTCAGGCAGCCTGTGTGGCCCTTCACCCCAGCCAGGCCTCCCCGTCCCCAGGCCTGTCCGCTTTAGAGTGAGAGGAAGGGCCCTTGACACCAGGATCAGGGAAGGAGCATGAACTTTGTAGTCAGTGGACCTGGCTAGGAATCGGGGCTCTGTGAGGCACTGGCTGTGTGATCTTAGACAAGTTGCTTCACTTCTCTGAGCCTCTATTTTCTCATCTATAAAGTGGGAAGAAGGAGGTGCATGCCGCAGGGGGCTGTTGGCAGGGCCAGGCCTGAGGAGTCACTCTCACTGGCCCTCCCATACCGGTGGGACCAGCCTCTGCCTTCAGACGCCATCCTGGGGATCCCCTTTAGGACACCCCCTGCCCCTTCTCTTGGTGCCTGTTAATAGCTTTGACCCCTGGACTTTGGTCACTGGCAGGCAGTGCAGAGGCCCCAGCCCATCGTTACCCCAGCCCCCCGCTCCTGCTGTGGCCGCCCACAATGGGGGCTTCTCCCAGCTCAAAGGGCTCATTCAGCCGCCACGCAGCAGCTGGGGCAATTTGGAGAAGAAAATAAACATTTCCTCCCAGTGTTGGGATTGGCTGCTCGACAGCGGCCTGGCCAGCTCTGGTTTCCTGGGGCTACTGGGTTGGGGGATGCTGAGGGCAGGAGCTGAGGGGGTGCTGAGGGCAGACGCTTCCCCCACCACCCTGGGAGGGAGGGGACAGTGGCAGGTCCAGGCAGGCCGCCCACAGCCCGTGTGAACTCCGAGGGCCGCACACACCCAGGCCCACCTCGCACGGCCTGTGTTTGCTGGGCTGCAGCCCTGCTCTCGCATCCTGGGGTCCCCGTTTGGGTTTCCTTTGGTTTGAAAATGGGGTTCCTGTCAGGTGGGCCGCACTCGCTTTCCTGGGCTCAGAGCGGAGGTGTCAGCCTCATGTTCGGCTGTGTTTGGGGTGCAAGGCACTGCCCACAAGGCTTCTCTCCTGGGGTTCCCAGATGAGCACAGGCACCTCCGACCCCCCGGGCTTCAAGGCAACACTGCCCAGCCAAGCAACCTGTAGGGAGGGTCCCAGATGTTCCAGAAGGCTCCAGTCACCTGGACCCTTGCCCCCATATCTCCCCACCATGAGCCCAGGAGCATCATTCCGTTCTGATCCACACTCAGGACCAAAGCCTACTACTGAGGAAACACCCCCAGCTGAGTCGGGCAGACCCGAAAGCCCAGGGAAGTTACAGATCTCACCTGAGGTCACACAGCACCTCAGGCAGGTCTAGGGAAGCAAGAGGCCTGAGGGCACCCGCAGCTCTGTCCTCACCACACTTCAGTCCCCGCAGGCAGGGCCCACCTGGAGCTGACAGGGGCTGAGGCTGGTCTCCTCCTGAGCCGTCTCCTGGCTCTTACTCTTTGCTGGGTGGGACAGAGGGGTTGGGGCCATACAGACTTCACCTCAGGACCAGTGCTGGGGCCTCATCCGCCTCCCCACTGCTGCCCAGAGTCACCCCCTTGGCTAGGGGACTAGGAGGGCCCAGTGTCAGGGGCTCATCTTTGCAGGGCCTTGAATGGGCCCGTTCTCCTTGGTGCCCAGAGCAAGAGGTATCACAGCCACCGAAGCAGTGCCAACCCTCATCGGGCCCCTACTCTGTGCCCAGTCTCAGCACTTTACACGTAGTAACTAATTTAATCCCTAGGAACTGTTATTGTCTCCATTTTTCATGTGGGAAGACTGACGCACAGAGAGGTTAAGTGACTTGCCCCAGGACACACAGCTAGTAAGTGTCAGAACCAGGATAAGTATCTAGCTGCAGAGACTACACAGTTAACCTCCATTCTATGCTGCCTCAAAGATGGGACACCTACTTATCAGACACATGTCAGGGCCCAGGACTGGGAACGCTAGGATTTTGTGCCAGGTCCAATGTGCTGTGTAACCCTTAGGCAAGTGCCTCACCCTCTCTGGGCCTCAGTTTTCCTACCCAGGGAGTTAGACTCCATCCCGAAGCCCCTTTGAATGCTGAGGTTTCAGGGATCTGTCACTACAAAAGTCGGGGGCAGAGACTGCGATACCCTTGCCATCGAGCCCAGGGAGGAGCCAAACTCTTTGGGGAGCCAGGGTAGGGCCTGGTCTGGGCTGGATACAGGGTCTCCCCGTGACAAGGGCCGGGTCAGGCCACCAAGCCCCTCTGGCTGCCGTCTCGCTTTGCCCCTGAGGCAGGTGAGGGGGCATCTGATCGCTGCCTGGCCCCCAGTCAGCCAGCCTACAGGGCAGCCTGGAGACACAGGCCAGGGTGAGGAGGAGTGGGGGGTGGGGCAGGCAGGACGGACAGAGCTGCTGTGGACCCAGCCCCCACGACACAGGCATGAGCTCAGGTGACCTACCTGAGCCCCACTGGGCAGGAGAGGGGCAGGAGCACACAGGCACACACCAGAGGGCACACACCAGCAGAGGGGAGAGGCCCCGGGATGAGTTCTAGTCCCTCCTGTGCAACATCGGAGAATCCATCTATCCCTCTCTGCCTCCGTTTCCTTCTCCGCAAAGCCAGGTCCACTCCCAGTCTCACCGGGCTGTCGGAGACCCTCTTCACTCCACGGTCTTGCCAGCTCGTAACCACAAGGGAGGAAGGGAGGCGGAAGCTGCCAGGCCACGCTGCTGGGAGGCCTGTGCTGGCCCGTCCCCACACCCCCACGGCCCAGGGGGGCCCACCTTCACCCCTCGACAGGCCTCCGCACTGCTAGGCTGTGTGGAAGATTCCATGGGGAGAAAAAAGCCCTCCTCCTCCTCCGCCTGCCCGGGCAAGCCCCCATGGCCACCTGTGGCCCACGCATCCGCTTGCCAGGTGGGGCCGGAGTCAGGCAGGCTCCAGCCCCTGAGCAGTCAGGGCAGTATGAGCAGAGACAGATCTAGAACCACCGATCCTCCAAACGGGCCTGGGGAGCCAGAGCTGGTTCTTAAAGAAGGGCCCTGGGTGGTGTCGGACCGCCACTGACCATACTCTTTGCTGTCCCCCAGGCACCTCGGACCTGAACCCTTTCTCCGACCCCCGCCAGTTTGATCGCTCTTTCCCAGCACTGCCGACCCTCACGGAGAGCCGCTTCCCTGACCCCAGGATGCATTACCCGGGGGCCATGTCGGCCACCTTCCCCTACAGCGCCACGCCCTCAGGCACCAGCATCAGCAGCCTCAGCATGGCCAGCATGCCGGCCACCACCCGCTTCCACCACACCTACCTCCCGCCGCCCTACCCCGGGGCCCCGCAGAACCAGGGCGGGCCCTTCCAGGCCAACCCGTCCCCCTACCACCTCTACTACGGCGCCTCCTCCGGCTCCTACCAGTTCTCCATGGTGGCCGGCAGCAGCAGCAGCGGGGGCGACCGCTCGCCCACCCGCATGCTGGCCTCCTGCACCAGCAGCGCCGCCTCCGTCGCCGCCGGCAACCTCATGAACCCCAGCCTGGGCGGCCAGAGCGACGGCGTGGAGGCCGACGGCAGCCACAGCAACTCGCCCACCGCGCTGAGCACGCCGGGCCGCATGGACGAGGCCGTGTGGCGGCCCTACTGACCACCCAGGTCAAGGTGGACTGCTCCGGCTGGTGGCGGGAACCCCCAGAACCTTTCCGACAGGTGGCCAGCCCAGCTCCGAGGCTCAAGGCGGGAGTGGGACTTATGCTCCAGGGCAGTCGGGGGCCCAGGGTCCGCGGTCCTGGGGCCTGGGGCTGGTGGGTGGCTCTGAGAGTGTCTAGTCCAGCCACATGTTTGTACAGAGGGGTAGGGACCTCCCCCAGGACACTTCCCCCAGCCCAGGTCCTAGTCATCTCAGCCCACATTCCTGTGGGAACAGTATCCTCCTCTCGCCACCTTCCCTGGAATGACCAGGCTGTCCCCAGCTATGCCGGTGCTGTCACGGGGCCCAGGTCTCCTGGGACAGAGGCCATCTCTGCTCCAGAGAGAGGTGGCATGTGCCTACCTGTCTTGGCCTTTTATCCACAGGGCCCTGGAAAGACCCCCCCATCCCCCCCACTTTCCTCAGAGACCCTGCACCCCATGGGCCCAGCCCTCCCCCTGCATTTACACAAACTGAGTCAGAACTGGAAGGACCCCCACCCCTGAGGGGGTTTCCCCTCCTTGTATAGATGGCGAGAGGACCCGGGAAATTGCTGGCAGAGATGGGATGAGAGCACCCCCAAGCCAGTCTGCCCAGCTCTGCTCCCCCACAATTCCCACCAGCTAAGAAGCCCCGTCCCCATCCCACTCTCTGTGGGTCCCGGGCCCCAGAGTAGACTCGCCCATGGCCTCAGGTCCCTAAAGCCAGGGAAGGCACCTGCAGACGGGTCCTCCAAGCACTTTACCAGCCCACGGCATTCATCTCTGTTCTCTTGGTGGGGGGCCGGGGATTCCCCTTCCCCCTAGGCTGGTCTCAAAATTGCCATTTTTGGAGAGAGCACAGGGACCAGATAGGACAGGTCCTAGCAGAAAGTATTGGGACAAGAGGTCATGGGGTCAGATGTCAGCGTCCTTGTCCCACCCGGATCCAGCCAAGCTGTGCACACCCCCACCCTCCCAGCCTCGTGGGAAGGCCCAGCCAGATCTTCCGACCTCTGACACACCGCTCTCCATCTTTAACCAGTCTGTGCTCCAAAAGCGGTCTGGAACAAAACTCAGTTTTTAAAGCTGATTTTAGAAAAAAAAAGCGGTCAAACGTTGTCAAACACATGGTCTCTTACAGGTGAAGCCCCAGGATAGTGGACGATATCCCTTCCCCCTTCTGTGAGAGTGGAATTGTTAGGATCTCAGCACCTCCTCAGGAGGTCACCTTCCTTCAGCGGTGTCCCACCAACTGCCACCAAAAGCCAGCCCTGGTGGGGACCACGTGAGACGCGGGTGAGATGCTGGGATCTCACATCCACAGCTCTTAGACGTTTGCCGGGGAGGATGTGTGGGTGTCCTGGTAGAGGTGGGCGGGGTGTGAGAGGTGGAGAGCTGCATGATGGCAGAACAGAAGAGCTGTGAGGGGCTCACCAGCTGCAGCTCGGTGCACACTGTGCTCAGAGGTGAAGTATCGCCCCTTCGTTTTGCAAATGGGAAAGCAAGCCCTGCCCCAGGGTTTGGGCTGCGTGGATTCTCATGTCTTGGTTCTTTAGTTCTAGAAAGGCTTACATGGATAAGGACAAGAAAACTCTTCTGAGGGCTAGACAGCATGTGGTTTTTAGTAATTATTTCAGCCACATCCTCTGTGGACGTGGAAATCTCACCTACAGAATGCTCCTTGGTGGTTGTCTCTGCAGTAGCACTCGGCCTGCCATCCACCCCAACCTGTAACGACAGCCAGATACGCACACCGGATGCACTCTGGCAGGCTAGGTAGTCCTTCTGGTGGTCTTATTCAAACCCCTCATGCTACGGTTTGTCTTGTCCTGCCCTCCCTGGAAAAAGCAGTCTCCATTTCTTCAAAATAGCAGCTGGGGGGTCCTGCTTACCCCCGACACCCAGGGGTGCTCTCCACCCCTTCCAAGGAAGCAGCCCCTGACCCATTGCCTCTGGGCCTTCTTCACTCCTGTTCTCTGTGGTTGTAGACTGGCCCCAGGCCCATGTGGGAGGCCCCCTGGGTCCCCAGTGCCCAGCACTTTGTAGCCCCCCCCCCCAGATGACTCCTGCTTCCTGATATCCAAGCCCTGGTGGGGGCAGGGGCAGGAAATAAATTGACCCCCACCCTACTCCCTGAGTAAAAGTGATAGCAGCCGTGCTGAGTCTGTTTTTAAGGCCCATAGTGGGTACAGACAATGTGGGCTAGTAAAAATGGGTCCTTGTTTGCAAGGCTGCTTTAAGGTTGTACTAGGCAAACACACTGATTTAGAAAGCACAAGGCCACGAAGGGGTTTTTACACCGTGTTACTATAAGGCTGTTGGCGGTGGGTACAAATCCTCTGTGACATATTGTCATGCTGAGGTGTCGGTACCTGCCACACTCATATCTTCCGTCAAACCGTCCCGGAGCTGGGAAGAGGGTGGGAGGGGTGGAAACCGCTTTGCACTATAATTTGCTTGGTGTGTTTGTTTTTAATGCACAACTTGCTTGTACAGTAAACTGTCTGTCTTCTGTACTATTTAACTGTAAAATGGAATTTTGACTGATTTGTTACAATAATATAACTCTGAGATGTGTTGAAGGTTCCCAATGCCAGACTTCTAGGGCTGTGTGCTTGGAGGGGGGAAAGGAGGGAGACCTCCCACCGTGGTCGGGGAGGGATGGGGCAAGGCCTGGGGGCAGGACTAAACCCTCTGCTCTGAAGACGCCCAGCGCCTCGGCCTTCCTGCATCCTGGAATGGCCACAGAGACCACCCTGGGCAAGTGCAGCTGGTGAGGCCTCCTCCTGGTGAGGCTGGAACCCCAGGTCTTGAAGGTGCCACCACCTCTTCTCCCCTCACAAGTGGCCCATGACCTTTCACAAGTAAACGGAGGAAGTCGTGCATCTCTTCCAGCTCGTTCCCCAGGCTCAGCGTGGAGGAGGGGGCTAGGCAGGTGGAGCATCAAGCAGCCCTGGTGAGAGCCCCCCCGGGACCTGTGTTTGCTGGAACAATGGCAAGTTAGCAGCTGCCAAAACTACAAAGCAAGCAGCTATGTCAGCTCCCCACTCTGCAGATGAGGCGACTAAGGTGCAAAGGGGGGGTGTCATCTGGCCCCACATCTCCCCAGAGATGTTTGTGGCTGATGCTGGGGACTGTGGGTGCGATGGTGTGAGGACCTGGCCTGGCAGCCTCCTCTGCACCCTGCCAGCAAGGAGCCCTGGCCCGCAGTGCCTGTCCAGCTGGGATTTGTGGAGGGGAATTTTCATAAAACATCTTATTTTCGAGTGAAAATCCTCCAAAAGCAGATCCCAAGACTTTGCCCTGTTCAGTTAGGTTGGTCTGCCTGAAACCCAGCGCCCAACAGGAAGTTCCCATTTCCCCAGCCTGCACCCTTGATCCCGCCCCTCTGCCCCATCCCTTCTGCCCTGGGGGGAGCAGTGGTGTCTGCAGGCCCACACTCTGCTTCCACCATTCAGGCCCCTCCCCACCGGCCACACTTTGGTGCCACAGCTGATGGGAGAGGCGCTGTGGCCTCCAGAGCCCCGGACTCGGAGCTCCTTCACCCTCACCCCAGCAGGCACAGACCAGGGCACCCAGCTTCCCAAGGGGAAAACAGGCCCAGAGAAGGCCAGGACTCGCCCGAGGTGTGAGGGCGGTGGGGGGAGTGCTGCAGTAACCACAGTGGCCTGCAGGTGGCAGCAGGTGGAGAAAGTGGACACTCCCCTCAGAGAAGGGAGAGAAGGGGCTGCCCCAACTGCAGCCAGGATTCAGGTTAGATGTTAGGAAGAACTTCCTAACCTCAGGAGGTTCATCTGTGGAAGGTCTGGAGAAAGTCTTGATGTGGAAGAAGAGTGTTCTTTCCTCCTTTAGCTATGTGGCTGTGGGAGGTCCCTGTGCCTCTCTGAGCCTCCCTTTTTATTCAAGTGTTACATGAGCACCTGCTATGTGCCAGGTATGTAGTAGAATCACAGGTCCCATGATCCCTAAAGGCTGTGCTTTGGGACAGGGCTTTACTCAGTTTGAAGGCAAGGTTGACATCCCTGGTCCAGCAACCCCAGCCTCCCAGAGCCCTGGCCCGGGTGTCCCCCTCCCCTGAGCCACCAGCAGGAGCTTCGGACATGAAGCAGCCAGTCCAGGGAGAGGAGGTCTTTTTGTTCCAGAGTCTGGAGCCGTTGGACTCCAGAATCACGTTCTAGAGGCTCTAGGAGTCGCTCTGATTGGGCAGGGCCTACAGTTTCACCAGCCCCACCCCAGCCCCACAGCCTGTGGCTGGCCTGGTGACAGGCTGCGAGAGGTGGCACTGGGCTGGGCTGGGCAGCTCCTGAGAGGGGAAGTGGCCCCAGACAGACCTGCCTCTCCGCCCTAAGGGAGCCGCCCTGCAACTGCGGGGCTTTGGTTTTTATTCTGAGAAATGGACAGCCTGGCACAGTTTTAATGGAGACAATGACCTGTGCCCAAGGGGAAAATTATGAGGGTCTGCGGAGATTGCTCTGAGGGGCTGACCTGGTGTGGGGCTGGCACCGGGGTTACAGGGAAGGGCAGGGCTGGACGCAGACCCAGACTTGACCCCCCTTCCCCTGCCCCAGACTGCGCCCCATAAACACAGCCTCCCAGCCCCCCCAGCCTGGCCCAGGGGGCAGCTCTCAGCTGCACCGGACACCCAGCTTGGCCATGTGAGCAGGGAATGCCCCTCGGTGGGGTGGTTCATTTTGGGGTCGTAAATGAAATGAGCTGTCAAACGTTCGGGGGTGGGGGGAGCAGAGTGAAAGAATGAACTGTTTCTTGCGGAAACCCAGAGAGCCCCTCGTTCCTCCCCACGAGGGCTGGGGAGCTGGGAGGGGATAGGGGCCACATCCCCCAACATCCGCATCCACACCTGTGTGGTCCAGCGGCTAGAGGAGCCTCGGGAGCCGGGTTCCAGGCTTCCTATTTTTAGTTTCGCAGCTAAACGTGCACTGTTTGTTTTATATATTTATATTCACCCACGGAGAGAGCCTGCCCTGAGCCCGGCCCCGAGGAAGCCCTCGGCCAAGGGGAGTGGAGCAGGCCTAGAGCCAGCTTTCTGGAGCCACCCTCCCTTTGTGCCCACGCCGACTGCTGGAAACAGTTGTGGCCTCGTTGGTGTCCTAATGGCTGGCAGCTGTATGGGCCACCACACCCCACTCTGCTCTTTGGGCCTGGTGTCTACGAGGCCTTGGCCAGAATTCATTCGCTCATTCACCAAACATAGATCCAGGCCCCACCCCGCCCCAGGTGCCAGACAGCAAGAAGAAACGGGAGGAAGTCAGAGCCGTGCCCTTGAGGAGCTCCCAGGGCAGACAGACAGGGAAACAGGTGTGCTGACCCAAGGGACCCAGGGTGTGGATGAGACAAGATGGAAAGACGAGTCAATTCCCCAGGCAGAGACACAGCAGGAAGGCCTTCTAGGTGGAGGGAACCGCATGTGCAAAGACCTGGAGGACTGGAGCGTGGCTGAGCTGGAGAAGGTGGTGGGGAAGGTGGAGAAATGGCAGTGGGATAGGGGAGACAAGCAGGCCCAGCTCACAGGGACTGAAGGCCAAGTTGAGGGGCTCGGG